GGCCTGCACTTCGACGACCGCTTCTCCGACGAGCAGCTGGTGACCATGTCGGTGCGCGAGCTGAACCGGCAGCTGCGCGGGGTCAGCAAGGAGGAGGTGATCCGGCTGAAGCAGAAGAGGCGGACCCTGAAAAACCGCGGCTATGCCCAGTCCTGCCGCTTCAAGAGGGTGCAGCAGAGACACGTCCTGGAGTCGGAGAAGAACCAGCTGCTGCAGCAGGTCGACCACCTCAAGCAGGAGATCTCCAGGCTGGTGCGCGAGAGGGACGCGTACAAGGAGAAATACGAGAAGTTGGTGAGCAGCGGCTTCCGAGAAAACGGCTCGAGCAGCGACAACCCGTCCTCTCCAGAGTTTTTCATGTGAGTCTGACACTCGATCTCAGCTAGCCACCTTGATAAGCGCTCCGCGGGGGTCCGGCTCGGGTGTGGGCTTGCTAGTAGCAGAGCCGCGCTGGCCACCACCTCGCCCCCTCCCCTGCCGAGCTCGCCCCCCTTGACCACACACACACACACACACACACACACACACACGCCCTGCTCCTAGTTGGTGGTGGCGGCTGTTTTAAGTTGGGGAGGGAATGGGTGTCTGGCTCGCGGATTGTCCATCTGAAATGCCCCATAACTTGCTAGCTGTTTTTTTTTTTACACCCCCCCCCACTTGCACGATGTTCAAAGATCTCAGCAGAGTTCTTCATGTGGAATACCACTCACTTTGAAGCCTGCATCATCTGCATATTTTTCCCCTTCTTCAGTTCATGAGCTTGTGTTCATTTTCTGTGTGTGTGTGTTTTATTTTGTTTGGGATTTTCCCCCCTTAATTTTACTTTTTTTTTCTTTTTCTTTTTTTTTTTTTTTTTTTTTGGGAGCTTGCTGTGTTGCCCAACCTCCACCTCACCCCCCTCCACCTATCTCCAAGATTTTTTTTTAAAGGCAAAGGTTTTGTTGGGTTTTTTTTTCCTTCTGAGTTCTTCATGTGAGATTGAGCTTGTAAAAGAAAAAAAACAATGTGAAATGTTATAGAGTTTGCAGCAGCAGCTTGCTGAGTTCCGTCGGGTTTTTAGCATTGTTATGCTAAAATAGAGAAAAAAAGTCCTCATGAACCTGCCACAATCAAGCCTGCATCAGCCTTCTGGGTGTGACTTGTGAGTTTTGGCCTTTTGATGCCAAATCTGAGAGTTTAGCCTGCCATTAAAAAAAACACTCATTCTCATCTCATGCATTATTATGCTTGCTACTTTGTCTTAGCAACAATGAACTATAACTGTTCAAAGACTTTATGGAAAAGAGACATTATATTAATAAAAAAAGCCTGCATGCTGGACATGTACGGTATAATTATTTTTTTTTTCTTTTCTTTTTCCTTTTGGCTTGGACATGGACGTTCGAAGACTTAGAGCATGGCATTCATTCTTTTGTTTATTGTCTCATGACTTTTTTTGAGTTCCAAACAAACAAAAGTGCAACCCTAGAGCCTTCTTCCCGTGAAAGTTTTCATCTGCTCCAAAACTGCTCTGACTTGACTCAGAACTTCAGCCTCCCACTGTAAATGCACTGAAGGCATTCCTTGTCAAAGATCCCAGAATGGGTTTAACATGGCAAACATTCAAGTACTCTTATTGATGTTCTCTTTTTAATAAGAATGATGCCCCCATTTGGGGACTTAAATTGTGCTGTTGCTGAAAGCAGTCTAAAATTTATTTTTTGAAGAAAAAGAAATCTGCCCCATTAATTTTTTTTTGGTTTGTTTTACTCTTATTAATTTCTTTTGGCTTTTGGTCATTGTCAAATGTGGAATGCTATGGGTTTCTAGTATATAATTTAATTCTAGTTTTTATAATCTGTTAGCCCAGTTAAAATGTATGCTACAGATAAAGGAATGTTATAGATACATTTGAAAGAGTTAGGTCTGTGTAGCTGTAGATTTTTTAAAAGATTGATGCACTAAATTGTTTACTGTTGTGATGTTAAGGGGGGTAGAGCTTGCAAGGGGATTGTTTAAAAAAAGTAGCTTATACAGCATGTGCTTGCAACTTAAATATAAGTTGGGTATGTGTAGTTTTTGCTATACCACTGACTGTATTGAAAAACCAAAGTATTAAAACGGGAAACACCCCTGTTTATATCTGTAGGGGTATTTTACATTCAAAATGTATGTTTTTTTTTTTCAAAATTAAAGTATTTGGGACTGAATTGCACTAAGATATAACCTGCAAGCATATAATACAAAAAAATTGCAAAACTGTTTAGAACGCTAATAAAATTTATGCAGTTATAAAAATGGCATTACTGCACAGTTTTAAGATGATGCAGATTTTTTTACAGTTGTATTGTGGTGCAGAACTGGATTTTCTGTAACTTAAAAAAAATCCACAGTTTTAAAGGCAATAATCAGTAAATGTTATTTTCAGGGACTGACACTCTGTCTTTAAAAAAAAAAAATGAAAAGTAAATCTTACCACAATAAATATAAAAAAATCTTGTCAGTTACTTTTCTTTTATATATTTTGCTGTGCAAAATTGTTTTATATCTTGAGTTACTAACTAACCACGCGTGATGTTCCTATGTGCTTTTCTTTCATTTTCAATTCTGGTTATATCGAGAGAGAAATAATCTACAATAATAAACTGCATTTTTTTTTTGATTCTGTACTCAATTTCTTAGTGTACAGTTTAACTGGGCCCAACAAACGCATGAGAAGTGTAAGATGCATCCTTTTCTCCAGTGCAAGGGTTCATGGTAGGGTAGCGAGGCAATAATTCAGGGTGAAATTATGGGCTCTTTGTGAGCCAAAGGGGCTGACCCCATATAATAATGAGGAATATTTAATAGCTGTGTAAATTATGATCTCTCAATTTTTCCTCCCCAAAGTTTGCAGTTTTGAAATCCCTTGAACCATTCATCATTGCTCTTGGGTAAAAGAAAATAAAAAAAGACAAAAGAAAACAAAAATCAAAATCAAACCAAACAGTGGAGCTTGGCTTTCTGACCGTGGCCTTGGGTTTGTGACCTGGAGCAACCCTATCTAGAGAAAGACCCAGGCAGGCACGACGACTTAGACACAGACGCAGTTAGTGGTACAGATAAACAATTCTTGTCTTTTGACTAAGATTGATTATTTTTCCTTCTTCGCCTACACATCTCGATTTTCTTGTTAGCAAGGCCTGACAAGCTTGAACATAAACACTTTGGACAAATCAAACTTGTTTGCTTTATTTTGTTTTGCTTTATTTTTCTTTAATTTCAAAGGTCATTTGTCATAAATAGGAAAAAAAAAAAAAAAACATCAACACACCTTACTCAAGTAGCTCCCAGTTTAAATCTGCTTTAAAGAGAGTTATCAAATCATGTATCACTGTGACTACTTAGTGGAGCGCCTCCCACTTGGATGAGCTGGTAGTGATTTCAGCTCGCATTAGCCCCAGAAATATAAGCAGAAAATAATGCCTCTGTGGAATGAATGCTATGCTTTGATTTATTGGTATCTACCCCAAAACAGGCTGTGGAGGGGGGCTAACTTGAAGATCATTTGGAAAGATTTCAGCTCCCTTCCTGAGGCGAACTCTTAAGCACTGACCTATTTTAAACTGACACAAATTCATGCCACTAATGTTACAAATTCATGCAGCTTGTACTCTCAGTCAACTTCCCCTAGAAGCTAGTAGAATGTTAGACAAAGCCAGCACTGTTTAGAAAATATAGCCAAACACGATCACTTTTGTTTTATTTTGTTTTTGATTCTTAAAGAGAGAGGAAAAAAAAAAAAAAAAGATAACATTGCAACCCAGAATGCAGGCCTTATTTTGAAAAACCCTGGTTGTGCATGGTGCTGGTGAGTCCTGGCCACGTTATCGTAGGCCTTCCGGACTCTTGCACAGAACACGAAGACAGTGTCTGCCCTCTGCATTCTGACCTTGTTCTATGTGCCGGGCCGGATGTGGCTCCCAAACCCACACTTCATTTTGTTCAACCAAAGTCCAAACAGCAAACATACTCCTGTATCCTGGTAGTTAGCTGCCCTCAATGCCAGAGATGTTTGTTGTTCTGATGAGATCCAAGAGATACAGCCTTCCTCTGAAAACGCAGAACTAGGTAGAGTAATTTTAGCAAAAACTCAGCATCCATGAAAGCTGTTAGGCTCACACAATTTCAAAATAAGAGTTACATTCAGGACGCAGTTATTGCAATTACTCATGACAAGTAGGATCTGGATTGGAAAAATAATTATATATATATAATAACAACAATTAATAATTATATATATGGAAAATTAAGCAGTTTGCTAGAAATGTACAAGGTGGTTCATTATAATAAGTTGTTTGGGCCCCCAGTCATTATAAATTAAATTTTAAAAAATTCAGCTCCAAATGGGCCATGGGTAGGCTGGATTTAAGTGAAGGTTATTGGGTAGTGAATGGCATTTTTAGAAATAATAATTATTAAAAACTCTGAAAAACAGTGAATGGCAAACATAAATAAATGCATTTTTTAAAAGAATTGCTAAATCTTCCCTACATGCCAGAGGTTATAAGTCTCTAATTTTTTAAAAAGAAATCATGCAAGGAAACCTAGCTCTCCCCTTTCCCCTGCATTTCAGTCCTTTGTCTAAATAGTGTTAAAATTCCTTTCATTCCAATTACAGAACTGAGCCCACTCGCAAGTCGGAGCCGCCAGTGGGATGCGCCCCGTTTTGGAAGCCCCAGCAACGTGTGCTTACCAGTGTGTTCACAAAGTGAAACTTGCGTGACAGCTATGCGTTAAACAATATTATTATTATTCTTTGCAGTTTCCGAGAACGACTTACCCCTGACTTCCATTTAGCCTCCTTTTTAAAGAAAAATTATTGTGCCAGAGAAAAAGTCTATTAAATGTATAACCACTGTACTAATTAACAATTAATCAGCCTCTTGTCTGAGGGCCCTGTCCACAGAGCCATAGGAAAGGTCCCCCCGTGCTTTTCCGTCAATGCTGCGCACAACCGAACCGGTGTGATTGTTTTCAGCCTAGAGTAGTAGTTAAAAAAAATCCACCAAAGTTACAGAAATATGTATACGGACATTTACACACTAAGTTTCCCAAACGGTAAATAGCTAGCCTGTTAAAAGCATATATAAACATGCGCATATTAGACAGTAAAGTTTCATGGTTCAATGTTTCCCTGGCAGAGTATTGTACTAAGAAAATAAATGGTTGCCTCTTCTCCCTCAGCACTGCAGAAGCTTTAGCTAAGCTGGGGACCCTGGCTGCTCGCAGGCCCTGGCCAGCACTGTGTCTCTGTGACGTGATGTCAGGTGTGCTTGCTTATCAGATATAGCTGTGGGTGCAAACACTGCAGCCAAAATGCAGAGTTAAGCACGCTCCCTCTGAGTGCTTTCTTCCCCTCCTTTTTCTACTCCACAACTCGCACAAAAACTACTTCCTTTGAATTTCCCAGCTTTTTGCATGTTTCCTTTCTCGAAAGCCCTGAAATATTTTTTTTCCTTGTATCTGACACAGTAATCTATTGCTATCACATAGGCAGAGGTGAATCTGCAACGGGGACATCAGTTCCTCTCTGTCTCACTGCCATAACCCTTGGGGGCCCCCTTTCAACCCAGACTGTTCAGAAGGGAAATGCTGTATGTATTACCGAACACACGAGACTCACACACTGAGATTTTCTCCCTGTACCTTTACCCCACTCATTTTTAACTAGCAATATCTAGAGCCTTCTGTTCTTAAATAGGTCCTCCCCTTGCCAAGCCACCAGCTTTACTGCTAAAAGCAGGGAGTGAACAGAGGGCAAGTGGTGGCCACACTCAGGAGCATGGCACACAGCTGTGTCTGTTGCCACATTCCCCGCATTTCCTGGTTTAAATAGCTGAAGTCCGCTGATGACACATTCAGAAGTTCCTGAACACGGGCGGGCGAGGCAGGCTGTCCTTGTCTTTGCTGTTGTTTTGTTTTGGGAGGCCTCACTTCCTTGTGCACAAACTCTTGGCCCAATGCAGTATCCTCCTGCAGTATCGTAAACCAATCAATATTTTTAAAAGTCTGATCACCACACAAGTAGCTCTACTTTTTCAGCCCACCGGTAGTTAAAGACTAACTGACATAGAGCAGAAGACTAAAATACACAAGCGAGCGACAACCTTCCACTGTTGGCCTCTTGTGCAAGAAAAACACTCACTTGAGAACTCTTGGCCTAAGCTGTAGTCTAAAGCTTCTGTGAGGGGTAGGAAGGCAGCTGGCCTGCTCTGGATGGCCCACTCCTTCAGCTCCCACTCCTTCCCACCTTCATTCAATTGTTTTAAAACAATAACTTAGCCCCCTGCTTAGAAGGAACGTCCTGGATTTTCTTGTTAGGTTTTTGTTTTCCCCTCCTTCGGTTTGGTTTCTGTTTGGGGACCTGCATGTGGAAAGCTTTCTCTGCAAGGACTGGCTGTGATTTCACCCTTTTGGATTACTCTTTTGCCATGCTGGATGGAGAGTCTGGGGCCGGTACCTTTCTGGACAGTGCAAGGAAAATGAAAGGAAGCCTGCAGCCTGTTTTCACTCATACTCCAACTCAGCCCCCGGGATGTCCCAGTCCAGAGCAGTCACTGGGGAGGTGGTCCAGTTCTGAGCCACCACAAACCTGCTGGTTTGTTTTTTCTTGCATGTGTTTAAAAACAGACCAAGAGACCTAGCCACCTTCCCATAACACCACTTTCCTTGCTTTTGATATAAATCTTCAAAATCCAGACATCAAACAGCTCCAGAAAGGGGAATTCTCTGCAGGCGTTGCTCCACCCCAGCTCCTGAACAAACCCAGCTCTGTGTGGCATTTTTTTCTCTAGCAGGGGTAGGAGACAGGGTGAGAGAAGTGCAGTCTTCCAGGCTGTCTCGTGATTGTTGGGGTATAAAGAAGCACAGTCCTACCCCAAATTGGGAACATATTTACCCTTTAGAGAGGAGCAGAACAAAACAATAGAAAACAAACAAATCAAATTGCTCTGCACCGAGGAGAGCTGAGCCTGGGTCTCCACTCCCTGAACCATCTATAGAGGCGAGAAAAGAGGAAAAGGAGAAAAGCAGACTCGAAAGGCAAGAGTCCCAGGAAGCAATCAATGACCCCAGAATACTCCCCTTGCACAGTGGCAAAGCCACAGTCAGCGTCGGCATACACATCAGCCAGGTGCAAGCCAGGTCCGGCTGACCAGTTCTTTAAAATCATACACACAGGTTTCATTTGGGGAAGGAGCCAACCTGAAATGAGAGCCCGGAGAGGAAATTGTGAATATCTGAAGTTTCATAAGCAGACCGCTCTGTGATTTGACAGCGAAAGCATTTTGGACCACTCAGACATGCCAATTTTTATATGGTCACTGCACTAGGTTTGATGACATCATGACAGCATTTTATTGTTTAAATTTGAAAGCCCTTTGTGTGTTTTCCACGTCTGCCCAATAGAACAAGGCTGAGAGAGACAGTGCCTATCAGCAGCACATGGAAATCAGATCTCTGTACAAATTGGCATCAGAGTTGGACAGTTTTGAGAAACTCCCAGAACACATTTTTCCATAGGGAGGCTGTGGTTGGAAGGCAGAGCTCCTTACTCAAATCAGAATCGTCTTCTGAGTGCCTCTTTACGTGTTCAACCCGATTTATATTATTTTGCTTCCTTCTTGTTAAGTAATATTTTCTTTCCTGATACTTAGGACTTGGGGTTGCAAAATCACATTCTCCCTTTCTGTACAGATTCATCTTGATCTTCAGTTATGATTAGACAGTGATATTAATTCAGGAAGGGAGGAAGAAAGCGGGGTGTCTGCCAGGGTTTGGGGAAAAGGGGGTGGACAGGAAATAGTTCTTGGTGTTCACTGGGCGCATGCGTGGGCACACACACACTCACACACGAACACACTTCCCTCAGCTCCCCTCCCACCGAAACACACATTGGGGATTTCACTTCTAAATTTCTCCATCCTACATATTCTGATTCCCAGGCTTACCTATTTCCAAGCTAGTATCCAAACAGTAGTTTTATGTTTGGTTCTTTGATTAAGGAACAGGAAGGGCCACGACATCTGGCTCAACAGGAGCGAAATCATGATCCATCCAGAATCTCCAAAATGATTGCTGTATAAGAAACCCTGGCCTAAAAAAAATTCAGAACGAGGGTGCAGATTTTCTTCTCACAACCAGTATGTGCCCCGTTCCTTGGGGCCATGCCCACTTCTGCAGGGCTATGGAAGAGGTTCCCGGTCTCCTCTGGGGGATGTGCCGGAAGACAAGCAGACCTGAGGCTCTTGGGTAGTGGAAAACCCCAAGGCATACCCCGAGAGCGAAAGAAAGTAAGGATTGCAGGCCACAGGGGCTGAGGAAAACATCTCAGAGGCCACCTTGGCTTCTGACCCCCAGTCACCAGGGGGCAGCCACGGGAGCTCCAGACCCCAACTGCCCACCAGGCAGACTCTGTTTACTGGGTGACTGATGAGCGGATGCCAGAACCCCAGCTCCCCGCAGGACGTTAAACCTAGAGCCGTCCTTCGCTCCAGAGCTAGGTCCCTTTCCCACCTGACCCCTGTCCCAGCCCGGAGTCCTCTTCATAATTTTCAGCGCTCCTTCCTCCCATGCCTGGTCACCAAAGGCCATGAGGGTGTTTGTGAGGTCACTGCTCTGGGGCCAGAAAGCTGTCACCATAGCTGAGGGCTTGGAGCCCCTAAATCAGAGAGCTGACCAGCAGACAAAAGCAGGAGTGAGGGGCATCTGGAAGGCTGTCCCTGGGCTTGTAACGGCTGGAGGTTCTGGGCTGAGGGGCCTGGCAGCGCCCAGTGGCAAGGGCCGTAGACGGAGGATGCTGAGGCTGGATGGGCCTGCTCCCACTTCCTCACAGCCCCACAAGAACCCTGCTTCTGGCCCCAGGCTCTTACACATCTCTTCTGCGGCGGCGCAGTTCACCACCCCAAGCCTTGTTGTCCACGTGCCCTGGCTGGAGCTGAGTGGGTCCCCGGGCGTTTGCCTTGCTCGCCCCGCCTCACTCTGCATCCTCTGCCTGGTGCGTAGCTAGCAGGTGCGCTCTGACTGCAACCAGGCCCGGCTGGGAACCGTCCAGACCACCAGGAAGTCCCTCTGTGCCTGGCCCGAAGCTCCAGCCCCGCGGCGAGCCCTGGGAAGCTGGTGCGCTTGGGAAGGAACGCGCAGCTGCCTCTCCGCGCTGCGTGCCCAAGGTGCAGCCCGGCCCGCGGGAGACAGCGATGGCGAGGGCGGCCCCAACCAAAGCGCCCCAGGACCCCCAGATCCGTACTGCAACCCGGTTTCAATCTGCCAAGAGGACCGTGCTAGGCTGAGCTCTCCCGGCCAGCAAAACCGCAGGCTTGCCTTGGGGCCAGGTGGGCGCAGGGAGGGAGCGACAGATTCCGCCCTCCGAGGCTCCGCCCTTCACTTGGAGAACCCCACCTACCCGCCGTGGCCCAGCACTTTCTGTAAATAAGATCATCTTCTACAGTTTAATATTTACTTCTCCCGTCCATTTTCCAGATCCTCTCCACCCCCGAGGTGGGGGTGGGGAGAATTTGGCTAAAGAAAAAATCAGAAGGAAAAAGAGAAAAGAAACAGGAAATCTAGATAACAGATTCGAAACTCCTTAGAGAGGTCTCTCTGTGGTTTGAGCTTCCTTGGTCCCTAGTTGGGTGCACATTATGAAACAAAGCCAGCCAAGTAAACTTTATTAGGATTTCTCCAACAACTCCAGGTGAGGGGCCTGCCCACGCTTCCGGCCCTAACACAGCTTCAGACAAATCCCAGCGCTCCAGAACTGTCTCTGGAGGACAGGCTTGCAGACTGTGCGTTCCAGAAAACATCCCTTTTGTGCAGGGGCCTTTTTCTTTCCTAGCGACCCTGGACCTGTGAGCTAGTTGAGTTAGGCAAGAATCAGG